GGTTTGAATTCTGGTCCACACCCTGTTGGACTATTCACCTGGCTCCTATTTCCTCAGTTTCTCAGCCAGGGTCTGGGGGCTCCTGGCCCGACGGGCCCTGATCTCGGGGAGTCTGGGGGCGCCCGGCCCGACGGGCCCAGATCTCCAGCCCCATGCTGCTCTGCCCCTTTGCTGTGCCCTTCCCTCTGCAGGGCTCTGTGCCCAGGAGCTGGTGCCCAGGCAGTGCTTGTTGGGCCCTGAGGTCCTGTGCAGGGATCCAGGCCTAGCGGCTCAGTGCGGATGGCAGCAGAAGTGCAAGTTCCTGGAGCAGCACAAGCCCCAGGCGAGCAGTTGGGGGGGGATTGTGACCTTGGCTCTTGAGCCTGTCCCGGTTCCATAGGGGCTGGGTCAGTGGGGCTCAGGCCTGGGAGGTTGAGGGGAGTGCATGAGGGGCAGGGGGCTCAGGGCTCAGAGGCTGAGGGGTCCATAGGGGCATGGGGCTCAGGGCTGGGAGGCTGAGTGGTTCGTAGGGGGCAGGGGGCTCAGGGCTGGGAGGCTGAGTGGTTCGTAGGGGGCAGGGGGCTCAGGGCTGGGAGGCTGAGGGGTCCGTGGGGACGTGGCTGCTCCAGAGGTGACCCTGGCTTGTGCGTGGCTCAGCAGGGCTGGCGCAGCCGGGTGGACGCCCCTGCCTTCCAGTGTTCCCTCTGCACCAAAATCATGAAGACACTGGAGTCCCTGGTTGGTGACAAGCGTGACAAGGTGAGGGGGGCTCAGGTAGGGCCATGGGGAGCCCCAGGACAGAGCCCAGGGTTCCTGGGGGGGCTCTCCCTGTGTGTGACGGCGCGTCGGGGAGCCCCCATCTGCACCCAGCTGTGACTGTCGGGCTGTAGAGTAGAAGGTTGTTTGCTGCTCAGGGTCAGAGCACAGTGCAGGGTCCAGGTTGACACAGGAGCCGCCATGGCCAGGGAGCTGGTCAGGCTGGGCGGAGGGAAGCACGAAGGGAGCAGATTAAGTCCAGGACAAGGGGGTTCAGGGGCCTGTGAACCCCTCCCCCCAAGAGGTCTAAGGCTCTGCCCTGGCTCCCATGGCAACAGGTCCATGGGGCAGGGGGCTCAGGGCTGGGAGGCTGAGGGGTCCGTGGGGGGCATGGTGCTCAGGGCTGGGAGGCTGAGGGGTCCGTGGGGGCCAGGGGGCTCAGGACTGGGAGGCTGAGGGGTTCGTAGGGGGCTCAGGGCTCAGAGGCTGAGGGGTCCATGGGGCAGGGGGCTCAGGGCTGGGAGGCTGAGGGGTCCGTGGGGACGTGGCTGCTCCAGAGGCATGGGGCTCAGGGCTGGAAGGCTGAGGGGTTCGTAGGGGGCAGGGGGCTCAGGGCTGGGAGGCTGAGGGGTCCGTGGGGACGTGGCTGCTCCAGAGGTGACCCTGGCTTGTGCGTGGCTCAGCAGGGCTGGCGCAGCCGGGTGGACGCCCCTGCCTTCCAGTGTTCCCTCTGCACCAAAATCATGAAGACACTGGAGTCCCTGGTTGGTGACAAGCGTGACAAGGTGAGGGGGGCTCAGGTAGGGCCATGGGGAGCCCCAGGACAGAGCCCAGGGTTCCTGGGGGGGCTCTCCCTGTGTGTGACGGCGCGTCGGGGAGCCCCCATCTGCACCCAGCTGTGACTGTCGGGCTGTAGAGTAGAAGGTTGTTTGCTGCTCAGGGTCAGAGCACAGTGCAGGGTCCAGGTTGACACAGGAGCCGCCATGGCCAGGGAGCTGGTCAGGCTGGGCGGAGGGAAGCACGAAGGGAGCAGATTAAGTCCAGGACAAGGGGGTTCAGGGGCCTGTGAACCCCTCCCCCCAAGAGGTCTAAGGCTCTGCCCTGGCTCCCATGGCAACATCACCCCTCTCTGCCACGCAGGTCCAGCCCGTGTGGGGTGGGGGGCAGCAGACGGGCTCTAGGACGCGGCTCCAAGCCAGACAGGAGCGCATGGGGCGGGGAGAGGGCGGTGCTGTGACCGCGGTGCCGGGGGACACAGGCAGCCCCACTGGCCGCCTACACGGATCCAGCCGGTCCCAGGTACAGCCCGAGTCTCGCCCTGGCCCAGTGTCGAGCGGGGGCACTCAGAGCTATGGGGCCAGGGTGAGGCTGTGCCAGGGAGCATGGATGACCCAGGCAGTCTCTCACCCCCTCCCCCGTGTAGGACACCATCACCCAGGCCGAGGACCAGGTGTGCCAGATCGTGACCTGGGTGCTGCGCGGCCTCTGCCGCTACGCCATCAAGATGTTCAAATCCCAGATCACCCAGGCGCTGGAGGACGGGAAGGGTCCCAGGGGCGTCTGCACCAGCCTGGGAATGTGCCGAGGGCCCGCCCAAGGTTTTCGCGCTGTTCTCCGCCAGCTGCTGCCGCCTGAGGCGCTGTGCCCGGGAAACTGACACTGGGCTCTGCCCTGGGGCCGCAGGGGCGACCCCCCGCTGAGGGAGACCCGAGGTCCCTGTGGTGGGGGGACGAATGGGAACCGGAGCAGGGCTCCTCGGGGGCGGGAGGGACGAGCAGACACCAGGCTCCAGGCCGCTGGCGTTTACAAGCTGCCTGCACCTCGGTTCTGTAGGGCAGCCCTGGGGCGGCTCTAAGTGACCCCCGCTGCCCTGGGATCCCGTCCACCCCGGCCTGCCCCATATGTCCGGAGGGGAGCAGCACAGAGCTGGCCATGCTGGTCCTGCCCCCACCTGCTGCTGGAGGGGGGCCTCCCCCTGGGTCTGAGAGCGGGGGGCAGGGCCCTGGGGGGCAGGTGTGATGCGCCCGAGGGGGGATGCTGAGATCCTTGCTTCCCACGTGCCAGGCGCCCTGCTACCCCCCCGCGATGCCTGTGACCTCTGCCTGACCTTCACCAGCCTGACGCTGCTGGACCTGGAGCCCAGCCGGGACCTGGGAGACGCTCTGAACAGCACGTGCAAGCGGCACTTCGGGGGGTCCCCCGGGGTCAGTAGGACTCAGCTCGGCCCCCGGGGCCAGGGGGGGCCCAGGGCTCGTCCCCGCCAAGCGGGGCTGGGCAGCAGGCGCCGAGGCTCTCACCAGCCTGGCGCAGATGTGGGGGGTCCCGGGC